TGAGCAGAGGTGAAGGGGTGGCACGAGGCCCTGCAACAGGGTAGTGCTGGGCTCACAGCTTCTCTTTGTGGGGCTGGAGCAGAGTCTGCTGCTGCTCAACAACCTCCCTCCCAGAGGTGACAGGAATCCAGAGCCAATCAGGCAGGGAAGTGTTCCCAGGAGACAGAGCTGCTGCAGAGAGTGTGAGAGGGCTTGGAATCAAACAGAGCCAGCAGGGAGGTTTTCTTAGCACAGAAGGCAGAAAATCTTGGGAATTCCTTCCCTCTGTCCCACTGATGCTGGCAGGGAGGAACTGGGGGACTGACACTGTCAAGTGTGTCATGCCCAGAGTGAACACACATGCCTGGGCAGCTGCAGTTGGGCCCTGAACCAGGGTGTGTCACAAACAAGGAGTTTAATCATCAGAAACTGGCAGGGAAGAGCTCTGAGGTGCAGGGGGAACGTGAAGGGTCAACTAAGAAACTGCAGGGAGCCAGGAGGAGAGTCCTGGGATGGGGAAAGCAGCAAAGCCACAGTGGAGCATTGCAAGGACTTGGTACCAGTTGTGTCCTGCAATTAGAGGGGAAATCCTGAGGCTTGAAGTGCTGACCTTGCTGCATGGGCAGGACCTGGGGACAAGCAGCCCTGTCCCCTCATTGTCTCCCTGCTTTCTCAAGCCAAATCTTTAATATCCAGCTGCCCAGCCAAGAAGCCCTGTGCTGGATTTCCCTCCCAACAAGGACCAGAGCACTCCAGGTGCCACCTGCCTGCACACAGGCTGCCCTGGGGGAAGGGCTTGGAGGGGAAAAGGCCGTTCCTGGTAGAAAAGCTTGTTAAACAGCTTTTCAAGGCTTTCAAACCAGCTGAGTTGGTGTTTGCGAAGAGCATCCAAAGGTGATTCAGCTGCATCCAGCAGACACTGTGCAGGCTGGACCAGCATGAAGAACCCAGGAGGAGGTCCAGCCCTGCTAAACCCCCCAGATGGTGTCTGTGCACCGAGGGCAGAGCTGAAAAGGCTGCACCTGCAGCAGAGCTGGAACACAGCTCCAATGCACCACTGCTGACTCAGCAGAGAGAAACCAAAAGCCTGGCCCAAAGATTATCCCAGACTACTTAATTGCAGCTGCTTTTCCTTCACTGTAGAGACCCAGAGCTTTCCTGCCTGATGCAGCATCCAGAGATGCAGGAGGTGCCAGCTCCTGGAGGTGACTGCCCTGTTCCCAAACCTGGCCCCACTTCCCACAGTTGTGCAGCACAAGTATCAGTGTGGAGGATTTCTCAGGTGTCTCAGCTGGGAGGATCCCAGCCTCTCCCTGCAAAACTTGTGGGAAGCACTGACTGGGAAGCACAGCTCAGAGAGGGCTGCTCCTCCCTCCAGAAGCAGGGCAGAGATGGGGGAAAATGCTCCAGGAACAACCATTGCAAGGACTTGGTACCAGTTGTGTCCTGCAATTAGAGGGGAAATCCTGAGGCTTGAAGTGCTGACCTTGCTGCATGGGCAGGACCTGGGGACAAGCAGCCCTGTCCCCTCATTGTCTCCCTGCTTTCTCAAGCCAAATCTTTAATATCCAGCTGCCCAGCCAAGAAGCCCTGTGCTGGATTTCCCTCCCAACAAGGACCAGAGCACTCCAGGTGCCACCTGCCTGCACACAGGCTGCCCTGGGGGAAGGGCTTGGAGGGGAAAAGGCCGTTCCTGGTAGAAAAGCTTGTTAAACAGCTTTTCAAGGCTTTCAAACCAGCTGAGTTGGTGTTTGCGAAGAGCATCCAAAGGTGATTCAGCTGCATCCAGCAGCTGACACTGTGCAGGCTGGACCAGCATGAAGAACCCAGGAGGAGGTCCAGCCCTGCTAAACCCCCCAGATGGTGTCTGTGCACCGAGGGCAGAGCTGAAAAGGCTGCACCTGCAGCAGAGCTGGAACACAGCTCCAATGCACCACTGCTGACTCAGCAGAGAGAAACCAAAAGCCTGGCCCAAAGATTATCCCAGACTACTTAATTGCAGCTGCTTTTCCTTCACTGTAGAGACCCAGAGCTTTCCTGCCTGATGCAGCATCCAGAGATGCAGGAGGTGCCAGCTCCTGGAGGTGACTGCCCTGTTCCCAAACCTGGCCCCACTTCCCACAGTTGTGCAGCACAAGTATCAGTGTGGAGGATTTCTCAGGTGTCTCAGCTGGGAGGATCCCAGCCTCTCCCTGCAAAACTTGTGGGAAGCACTGACTGGGAAGCACAGCTCAGAGAGGGCTGCTCCTCCCTCCAGAAGCAGGGCAGAGATGGGGGAAAATGCTCCAGGAACAACCATTTCCTGAAGCACCCAGCAAAGAGCCAGCCCTGGCACCTGCCTCCAGCCAGGGATGGGATTGTGGAAGGAAGGAGGGAGATGGAGGAGAAGGTTCTTCCCGAGGCCCTCGGAGTAGCAGGACCCGGTGCTGGTTCCACAGGATGAGGAGGATGAGGAGGATGAGGAAGGCTGTCCCGGAAGGACTGTCTCCTCGCACACGCCCTGTCCAGCAGGCTGCGGGTGAGAGCAGAGGCAGCAGAGATGCTGAATTGAGGAGGGTTTCCATGGCAACCCAGGAGGGAACCCCCTCCGAGCTGCAGCTGGGGAGCCAGGGGAGGGACCAGGGACCCGGCGAGAGGCGGTGGGTGCCCCGGGGGGGCCCAGGGGGCAGGAGGGACAGCGGGGGGGGCAGCTCGGGCAGGCAGAGCTGCGCACAGGAGGGCGGGTGGTTGTACAGCTGAAACACCATCCAGGCTGTGACGAGAAGGGAATCCTTCCCTTCCTAGGGGATCCCAAATGTTTATGACCATGCTTAGACACCCCCGGATGGAATATCCTACTCGGGGGCAAGATGTAAATGCCTCCTCTGGGAATTTAAGGCATCTTTCTACATCCCAGCTAGCACAGCTGCCTCTTCTTTCTATTCAGCCACTCCCAAGGCTGATTGTCTGAAGCAAGAACATCTCGTCAGCCCTAGAGAGCCCCTTTCCAGCGTGTCCTGCCCTCGCAGGGGGGGCTGCTCGGGGGAGACAAGAGACACATGAAAAGGAATTTTGAATAAAGCTTCAAGACAAGAAGCTTGATCAAACCCCGCTTGTCACATGTGGAAGGAGACGAGCAGAGAAACCCCCCCCAGGCTGCAGCAGAGACTTCAGACAGCAGGTTGGGAAGTGTCTGTGAGAGGAACGAGTGACCCCCCCCGGCAGCAGCAGCCCCCTCCCCAGCCCAGCAGGAGCAGCCTGGCCCCGAGGGGGTGGCTTTCATCCCCAGCAAACAGCCTTGCTGCGCAATTAGCACACGAGGCTGTAGAACAGTTAGGATTGAGACAGCATCAGGCTGGTACAGGCTGGTGCTGCAGCTGCCGGGGGTGGCAGCGACCTGTGCCCCACGGCAGGGGCTGTGCCCCACGGCAGGGGCTGGGCTGTGCCCCACGGCAGGGGCTGTGCCCCA